GTACTACATCCAAATAATTTTGAAAAGAATTAAAATTGAAAACAAAAGTCATTCAACAGTAATAAAGCAAATCTCAAATCATCAAAATATACTAAATTAAAATCATATTTTAATTTAGTATGTTTTAGTATAACAGTAGGAAACCTAAAATAAAATATTAAAAGTATTATTATTGTAATAAAAGGTAGATTTCAAAAAATAAAAAACAAAATCAACTAAAAGTAGGCATGAATAAAAATCTGTAAATTATTAAAGCCTTTTATCAAAAAGACACTTTTAAAAAAAGTTTTAAACATTAGTAAAATAATTAGCAAAATTGAAAAGTCATGATGTGTAAATAAGTCACACATTATGACACAGATTCATAACAAAATTGCTAACACTGAGTAATCAAGCTCATCGTTTCAATGAAAGTTGAGGAAAAAACTTTTTTTTTCAATTTCTGTCGAAGACCTGCTTATAATCTTTGAATAGGTTCATGGTAATATTTTTGATAAAACGTTTTGAGTCTTATGGTTAAAAATTTAGCAGCAATTTCTAATGGTAATGTATGAGCATAGCCACATTGGTCATTGACTGAAGACATAATTCCAGTTGTTGTTAATGCTTGAGTACACATTGTACAATACTGTGTAACAAATCACAAACAATAGAGCCTGCAATGTAACATACTATAGCTTGTTGAAACACGCTTGTGTTTTCCTTGTCGAATTTAAAAAGCAATGATTAAAGAAACGGCTGTTCATTGAACTCAATAGCTTGAACATCGTATAACGGTATTCTTCAGATTGAAAAGTTGAAGGTCAGTTGTACAATCTAAAACCGAGCAGTTTGCATTTCTGCTGGGAGCAATACTGTTAACCTAATCAATACTAGTAACCACCTCAATAAAGATTTAAATTGTACAACATCCGGGTTATTATTAAATTAACTCAAGATTGTTATTATTAACTAAATATAAACTGTGATAACTTATAGGTTAATAGTTTAATGCTTTAAACTCACGGTTAAATAGATCAAGAACTAAACTCTGCATACTTGTTGCATTTGTGACAAATTCAATAACACGTGTTTACGGCGATGTGAAACCAATAAAGATCTACACAAAACATTAAAAATACATGAAACTTTTGTCAAATACTAAAATGTCTTTCATACTGATATAAAATAAAAGTCAATTTCATATAATCATACAAATATAAAAATATATATTTGATAAAAGTTTAATGATATATGTTTAGTGATAAAGAAAGTGTTGAAAAATGTGAAAAATGTTTTTTCTATCATAAAATTATCTTTAAAAAGATATTTAAAGTCCATTGTATTAATATCTAATTCGAGTAAGATTCTTTTGAATTCTGACTTTTGATTTTTACTGACTCAAAAAGAGGTTAGGCAATTTTAGAGGAAGTTGATCACCCTTATTAAGTTTGTGAAAACAAATACCGTTTAAATTTAATAATTATTCATTTAATGCTTACGCTTCTCAGTCCGGTAATTAGTTTTACTTTTTAATCCTATTTTGATTGTCAGAGATTGTTGCTACGTAGCGTTGCTACGGCAAGTTATAATTGGAAAACGCTTTTTAATTGTCTAAAGTAAATTTTTGTTATAAAAGTTTCCTCTCAATCCGGGTTTGTTAATAGATGACATTTTTCATATTAAGATCATTATTTGCTACTATTTAGGTAAGATTGTTATTTGCATTTAACTTTTTAAAAAGATTTTTCAATAATTGATACAAAAACCATCTGCTTTTTTGTGAAACCCCATTTTTTTAAGGCCTTGAATGCAGCTATACCCAAAATATTACAAAACATTGTATATGGTCATCGGTTGCTTTTTTGGCGACTTGTGTAGGATCAAACAACCTGGTCTAAAATCTCAGCTCCATCTTTATAGTTGTTGTAATCTGGAATAATAAGTGATTTTTCTTTTCAATATCATTGTAAATAAAAATTTCATTGTTGTGATGGAACAATATGACTGCTTTATTTTTCTTAGTTAGATATGAAACAATAATTAAGTCATTTGGAAAACTAAAAATACTAGAGTATTCTGGTCTATGTTAATTTGACAAAAAAATGTGACAAATTGACCCTTTATTTCTTCTCGAGGTGCAACTGTAAGTCGTTATACGTTCTATCAAAGGACACGCAAAAGTGTGCTTTTCTATAGCGGACAATTTTTGTAAAAAAATTGTCCGATCTTTTGTGTCTTCTACTTTAAGTAGTCATTTACATCAAGAAACACTGTTGTATCACTGATACACTGTGGTATCAACTCCAACATTCCATACTCTAATAATTCAATCTACATTTGGTTGCAATGATTCTGAATCATCCTGCACCTAAATTAGGGAGCAGGGTGATTAAGAATTACTTTGTATGTCTTATTAGGTATAAATATCTTTAAAAAAATAAAATGTAACTAACTGTTCATCAACAGGTATGGACTTAGTCAAGTCATAGATATGGCCTTGGACAAATCATATGCCAATGTAACAGCCAAATGTAAAACCAACTATAACCCAATTGGATTATAGTTGGTTGTACATCCAATAAACATTTCTATTACGTTTCTTAAAGTTTTAATGCTTTTTACAAAAAAAAAAAAAAAAATTTAAACTTTTGTTTAATTTGTGTTAATAAATTACGAAGATGCAGATTTTATATGATGAATCATATGTACCTTACGGATGCATAAATTAACCACGCACAACGAGTTTATGCTCACTATATGATAATGAGTGAATATTTAATTGTTAGTACTGATCTAGATCTATCCAACAATAATTTAGCAAGTCTTGTTTGAACAAAAGGGGATTTTGAACAAATTTCTGAATATTTTAAATCAATAAACTGAAGTAATTAATGATTATGAAATTTTTTTGTCTTTATAACAGGTCGTTTTTTACAATAAAATATATTTAATTGTGAAAAATGCTTGTCATAAAATAAAAATAAAATATATAATTGTGAAAAATGCTTGTGATAAAATAAAAAATGTGTAAAATAATCAGCTTAACTGTTGATATATAAATTCTTTTAAAAAAATAAATTTAGAACAAATAAAAGTAAAAGCAAATAAAATAAACAAAGTTTGTATTATTTTAATAAAAAAGAAAATCTAAGTCCATAGATAATAATAAACGATTTGATTTAGATTTGAACTGTTTAAGTGTAATTTTCTTGATAGTAAGAATCTGAAGAAGGGGGGGGGGGGGGGGTAGGTAGGTTTTTTTTGCTTAAATTGTTTTGTTTTAAATTTTTTTATTTATTTTATTGTATTAAAAAAAATTGACAAGATTGAAAAAACACGATACATATTGTCTCATCCAACTGGAAATTTTAAAACTTCGCTTTTAGATTGGCTTTGACTCTTATTTCTCTTGATAACTTTTGTTTGCTAAAACTACGTCATCTTAGCTCCGCCATTTATATAGCGTTACGTGTAAATGTCTGTAAATGTAAACGTCTGTGGGACAAGCTGAATTTTTTTGGCGGTATATGGAACGATTGTGTATAATATATGTATAATATGAGAAAACTTTAGAATATATTTTAAAAATTAGAAGTCTTTTTTGCTTTAGTTATATACAGCAACTTTAAAAATATATATTACGCTTAGGGAAGGATTTAAATTCTCCTAAACGATACGCACTAAAATCATGATTGCTTGTTCAAATTTGAATAAGAATTTAAATAAATACGCTTTTTAGGTGAAATGAACATCATAGTTTAATAATATGATTTGTTCTGATCGTTTATTGGCAATTTTTTTTTAAATATACGCCATTTCTTGGTTGGAATTTTAATACTTTTTGTGAAAATTGAATGAAATATTTCGACAATTGTATTAAATTAATATGTACAAGAACATATTAGAGCTAGGATCTATAGCAGAAACTTTTTAAAAATTTTAACTAAAATTAAGTTAACGCTGTGAAGCGGAATTGATCTAAAAACTCAAAAATGGTGCTCTTTAGATCAGGGTCCTTCATCTACAATATAGGAAAAATTCCCTTATATTGTAAATAAAGGACCTTTTTTTTTTTTTGAAGGTAACCTCTATTTATTTGGCACCCTTCGGATATGCCCGAGACAAACTGTCCCTTTCGCCACTCTCACGGCGGCACTGCCTTATATTCACAAGTAGAGGTAAAAAAAATATTTTAAAAAATGAGAAAAGTTTCTTTAAACAGTTTAAAAACTAAATGCAAGAAAAAAAATTATAGATATAAAGCTCTTGTATATACATGCTGATTCTAAATAAAAGAATTACAAAGAGGAATAAGTATAGAAACGGTCGGTTTAATAAAGACTTGTATTTTACGAGTCCAGAAAGATAGGATATACATTCATATGTTTAGTATAGAAAAGGTCGGTGTAAAATAGACAACGACCTGCATTTTTACGGGTTAGTAGTACAGGCTGAAGGCTTTACGGTTTAATTTAGTATATATTAAAAACTGATTTTTTGATAAAGAAAAAATTTTAGTCTAGACTAAAGGCATGCAAAATGGTTTTATGATGATTTTGAATAATTTACCTTGACGTTTTTGGATAACATTTAAAAAAGATATTCGAAATCTAATAGATCGTAGTTCATGTTAAGTAAATGCCACTTTAGTCTAAAAATTCTTCCAAATGCAGTTTAAAAGAAAACTTTTTTTTTTTTTCAAAATGTACAAAAAAATTTTCCAAATAAAAAGATGACAATATAGAAGTTAATTTATGATGGCTTGGAAGGATGTTTCAGAGAAATTTTTGAGAAGTTTTCAAGGTACTCCAAGAATTCTTACGGTCTTATTACAAAGCACCGCAGATTAGCTTGAACTTTTTAATTAACCTTCAATATTTTCGTATAAGAATGATTTTGATAGTTTTAAATAGGAATGATAGTTTTAAATTCAAGATTTTTGATATTTTTGATAGTTTGATATTTTTGATAGTTTTAACTTACACTATTTTCAAATTCAAGATTAAATTTTAAATAACTATTCTCTAGTGTACTTTATTTATAACTCAGATTTCTGGCTTATAATAATATAATAAGTGTTATATTTAGAAACAAACAAAAATGATGAAGCAAAAAAAAGTTAAAATAACTTCGAATCATGTTTCTGAATTGTTTATATTACTTTGATGTTGTTCATTCTTAAAAACTCTTTCTTAGGAACATTCTAAGAAACTCTTTTTAAAATCGTTTAATGTTATTATTACACTCGAATCTTTTAAATTGTGAAAATTTCTTTTAAATTGTGAAATAATTTTAATTTGATAAAATGAAACAAGTTCGTTAATAAGACTTATTCTAATCGCGAAATGATCTTCGTTTAGCAACGGCTTTCTTTGGCAAAAGCTCACTTTTAAAAAGACGTAACACCAGCATATTCTCTCCAGAAAGATAAAATTAATTATCTTCGCCGTGGATCTCTGCTTACATTAAGTTGCGGTTGTTTTATGCTGCTACTTAAAACAGGTGTGGTTGAAACAGTGTTCACAGTTTGAGGTACACGCTGTCTGGGATCACTAGGTAAAGGAAGTTTAACGTCACTATTTTGGCGCTTCAGTAAACGTGGATCATTTTTTTCAGTAACAACTGTTCTTTGTGGCGTAAATCTAGCAGGCAAAGAAGGACTAGTTTTCACTGCGTCATTAGATGGAGGCGGTGGTGGTGGAGGCACAGTTTGATTAGCTTCTCCCGCTTTCTTTTCTAAAAGCTATAATAATCAAAAAATCACTAGAAAAAATTTGCAAAAAAATTATTTTTGCGTATCAATATAAATTATTTTTTGCGTATCAATATAAATTTTACGTATCAATATAAATTATTTTTTGCGTATCAATATAATAGCGATCGCCATTTGAGGTATAGAGTTCACGTGTGCTTAAATTTTTATATTTAAAAATATAATTTGTTACAAAAATGACATAAGAAAGTTGGCAGAATATCTTATACTTTAAGATATTCTGCTAACTATGGATAATACAGAAAGATTCTCATGTTTTTGAAAAAAATAAAATTTAAGCTTAAGGAAAAGTATATTCTTATGTAAAATTAAATTTCAAGGTAGGTATGCTATGAACCAGTTTTTGATTAGAAAATGTCATGATACCCAAATTTTCACATTTAAACATTATCAAAATAAAATAAAATTATTATAAAATAAATATTAAATAAAGAAAATATAATATAAAATAAAATATAACCCGTTTTTATGTATTACATGATTTGTAACTCAATTGTTTACGATCTTCTATATTGCTATAGATAGATATATCTATCAAATTATCTTTAAGAAATTTTTTTGTAGTTTTTTAAATTTAAATCTTGTTATTCTTTTATTATTGCATAACATTTTTTTATTTACTACGTAAAATATTTAACTTGTAAAAATATAACGTCTTTTTACCGCGCTACTCGACGACAGGACCTTACGGTCTTCTATGAGTTTCCGCGTTCTTTTTATATATATTAAATATCTTCACTTGCAATTGTTTATATTTTTTTATTTTAGCTTGTAAATTTTATGAAACATTAACGTGATGTTTTAAAATGTAATAAAGAACAAAAAAAAAAAAAAAAAATAATGATAATGATGATGAGCTAATTTAATTTATTTTATAGGTTTAGAATTTCACTTGCCACAACTGCAGCAATTATTACAAGTTATCTGCAAGATTTAATTGAAGCAGGATTTCTCACCCCTGAATCTTCTTACTTTCCTTCTACGTTGACAAGAGCGAGGAAAAAAGTTAAAGTCTTCTAAGTGATCATTCTAAGTTGACAAGAGCGAGGAAAAAAGTCATGGTGGATGCAGAGAAAAATGATAATTCATAACTTCCAAATGCAGTTAATATTGGTGTTTACTTTAATGGAAGGAAAGATTCAATTACCGTAACTTTAGAACCTGGTGGTCGTTATCTTGGTCATTTTACCCCAGATGCACCGATTCATTCAGATAAGCCAGCTAAAAAGATAGCTGAAGGTGTTTATTTTTTGCTAAAACAACACTATCTTACTGAATCATGTTTAGTATTTGGAGCAGATAGCACTTCAATTAACGTCGGCTGGAAAAGTTGTGCTATAGCACATCTTGAAAAGATGTTAGGTCACAAATGCCACTGGGTCATATGCATGCTTGATTCAAATGAGTTATTTTTGGGTCGCCTAATAGAAGGAATTAATGGACCAACACAATGTAGTACTAGATTTGTAGGTCCTGTGGGGAAATTTCTTTCAGGTGTTAATAAAATGGAGTATAATCCTCAATTCAAGACTCTTCCAGACGGAGAGAGCTTTGTTGACATTCCAGAAACAATACTAAAAAACATGTCAACAAATTAAAAACAATTCTATAAGCTATGTAAAGCAGTTAGGATTGGTGTGCTGCCACCAAATCTAAGAAAAATTCAATGTGGCCCTTTAAGTTATGCTAGATAGACTGGCATGAGAATAGCCTTTATGTAGACAAGGAAACATGACTTAACTGAGCAGAATTTGAAGAACCTAGAGTTACTTGTCTTATACTGTTTACAATTTTACTTAAATTGTAAACAGTATAAGACAAGTTACTTAAATTGTAATTTAAACTTTTTTTAAACATAAAAGTAAAAAGCAAACTTGAAGATGATACAACTTTGTAGTTGACCATTTTTTGAAACAAAGGGGTAATGATATCCTTGGAGATATGTGAATTTAACCAAGAAAAACACCTAAATTAAACTTTTCAGCAACTGTTCTTCAAGAGCTAGTTAAATGGAAAAACAAAGAAGTACAAGAACCTGATTTTACTTGTTCGCTTACTTAAGATAAGTTGTTACTGCTTTTTTCAAAATTCATACCCAAAGTACTGAGCGGGTTGTAAAACAAGTGACAGTAGCATCTATGTTGGTAATTAGATCAGTTCCAAGAGATGGGTATAGAGATATTAGAGCTAGAGCTCAACATAGCGAGTTGTTACCTGTGTTTAAAACAAAGGAAAATTTTTATTAAGCTTTTAATATCGATAGACTTATTGTTTTTTTAATAGCGTTTTAATAGTGTTATCAAAATATCATTTGGGTAAGATAGGGGATAGACCACCTGTTTTTTGTTGAAACTGCATCACTAACACCACCACTTTTTAATTTCTAAAACAAAATCAGAAAGTCTGAAGAATTAGAAAGTCTTAAGGACTTTTTATTTGTTAAAACTTTATAAAAAATATATTTAATGCCCCCTTTTCCTTCCCTTGAAAAGTGCAAAATCTGCACTGCAGATAGGATCTATGCAAAATACTACAAAACAAGTATTAAATAAACTTGCAATTGTCTACAAACATTATTTGCATTCAATATTTTGTAAAATAAATGAAGGGCATATTTTTTTTCAAAATAAGATTTACATATTTTTTCAATTTCTAAAAGTGCAAATTTGGGTATAAAAACTTAGTCAGATCAAAAAAATATTTTAAGAAACTCTATTTAAAATTTATTTTTACATAAGAATACATCTTTTCCTAAGCTTTTAAAGTGAAAAAAAATTCTTGCTGTACCCTAATATACAGCTGAGAGCACGAAAATAGCAGTTCTTAAAAATTATTCATATTTTCTTTATTACTCTTCTCCTGCATAATATAAAAAGACTTTTTATGTCTATGCATACTAGAATGAGATAAGAAAATTGAGCAAATAAGAACTATACTATATCCAGGAATACCATTATTTTTGATAAATTATTGTATTTGAAAGAATTAAAATAGCTTTTTTTTAGGAATTATATATAGAATTTTTTTAGGCAGTGGTTGTTTTGATTTTAAAGTTACTTTATAAAATTTAAAGAGATTTTTGTAATTTTTATAGGTAAATGTTCTTCAATATATTCTTTACTTATTAGTGTATGCTCAGTGGTAAAAGTGTTTCTAAACCTTTCAAAGTGGGCGGAGGGTGTTATTGTACACCAGCAGAATACAATATTATTTTGAAGCATCATAGAGAGGGTAAATCTTACTTATATATACAAAATATTCTCAGATGTTCAGCAAAGATGTTTTTAAATGTCATAATTTATAAATCAAAAGTTGAAAAACAAGGTGGAAAATGCAAGACTACCGCACAAGAAGACCAAGGAATTGTTAGACTTGTTAAAAGCAAACAATGTTCATAGGCCAAACAAGTCAAAGATAAACATACCGCTGTAAAGATTTGCAGCTCACGAATCAATATCTGAATTGGCCCATCAAGAGCGGCGCAACATATTATGCTCCATCGAATCGAAAATTGTTCTTTATGGAGGTACAGGTTTAAGACAATATGTAAGACATCCAAAAGAAATCTTAAAAAAGCAGTTTCAGCTGCTAATTCAACAATTGCTCAGCAGCAATGGGAAGCTATTCAACAAAGATGGTACGCAATACCCACAAAAAAATTTTGCAACGAAATAAACGCAAATATTATTAAATCATACTTTTTTTTTCAACTTTATTAAAATTTTAACTTTTATGTTTTACGCTAGAAAAATTATTTTTCTCCATTTTCAGATACGACTGATATTTCAATGACTGAAACCTTTTTTAAATTTGTTTTGTTTCTGAAATAAAATGTAAAACTACTATTGATGTAACTTTTTTTACTCTACTATATTGAAGTGTCAAAATAAATATAATAAATTTTTTTTTAGTAATTAGTAAAAAAAAAAAAATTGCTTAATAGTATTCAAAAAATTCCACGTACTACTATTTTCATGCTCATAACTCTGTGTGTGTGTGTGTGCCTGTGTGTGTGTGCGTGTGTGTGTGTGTATATATATATATACATATATATACACACACAAATATATGTTATAACTTTGGTTTATAATAAACTAATAAAAATATTAATTTATTATAAGCTTTTGTCATATTTACTCAAAGTGAGAACACCTTACAATGTTCTTTCAAATCATAGCTTTTAGTAAAACTCTATACTTTGTGAAAGTCATATAAAAAGCAAAATATATTGTTACTTTTTTCATATGTTAGCATTTTTTTTTTCCATATGTTAGCATTTAAAAATCTTGGTATCAAAATAAAAGCTTTAGAATAAAAAAAAAAAACACGTTAAGAGTGCTAAAGGTAGAAGAGGGCACCCTCTGATATACTAAAAAATTTGGATTTTAAATTTTTAGTTTCTTAATTTCTTTAAAAAAGTGTGCATTTAAAAAAAAAAAAAAAAAAAAAATTTTAAATAAAAAAATAAAATAAAATTTCTATATTAATTGGAAAAATCAAGCATTTTTGACAAAGTTTTGTTATGATAGCTTATTTTAATTATATTTTCGTGTACATTTTTAAGTGTTTTTTTGTATATTCATATACTTCTAAATATAAAAAACCTGTTTATTTTGTTGAATAAATTCTTGATTAATATCACTGACATTTGGAAGTTCAGAAAACAGCATACAAAATCTAAATACAAATGTTAAAAAATATAACTTACTGTAATTATTTGTAAAAGTATAAATGCTGTAAACATTTATAACAATTAAATTACACATATCCTACATAGCTGACCCACAAAATATTGAGTTGAACAACAAAATCTTTCAAAGAATTTGGGGATGGGGTTGATGTTGTAATAAATAATGCCTACATATGCAGACGGGTGGTAGTGCTTAAAGCATACAGTTGTGTAAATAGGGGTCCTAAATCAGTGGTTTGACTGTGAATGTACTTTATGAATGCCCCATACGTTAAAATCAGTGGTTTCACTGTATATGTACTTTATGCTCCATATGTTAAAATATATAAAAAGATTTTTTTAATTTAAAATAAATAGAAGAATTTAAAAAAATAAAAAGAAGATTGTTAATTAGATATTTGTTAAAAAAAACACAAAAAAGGAAATAAAAATAAATAAATAGTCAGTTCTACCAATTTTAAATTAATTATAAATTTAAAGGCTAAATAAATATAAAATATATGGGCACAAATAATTAAACTAATGGAATTCAGGTCAAACTATTTAAAAAATTTAAAAAAAATCAAAATTATTATTTTACTAAATAAATTTTTAAAATGAAAATACATATATAAAAAATATTTCATCAACAAACATCAATGGAATTCCTTCCCATCTTTTTAATTTTCTGATTTATACAATTTTTTAAATTTTGCAAAGACACGATGTAATACCCAAATAATTAACCTTCATAATTTGATAAAACTCATTATGAAAACTGGAAGGAAATAAATTTTTTTTAAAAAAAAGTGGATTCTTAATTGGTAAAACTGAAATAATTATTAGAGCAGGGATATTTTTAAGGATTTTAGGGGACCACAAAATTATAAATTGATTTGGTATGACAAATAACCATTATGAGTCATAACACAAACCTGCTTTATTTCAACAACAACAAAAAAAATTGTTCAAATAAATTGTTAACTTACTCTCCAATTTTTTCCATTGCTCCTATCCTTCCAACATAAAGAGTGAGTTGATTTTTCCAAACCTGAGCATATCTAGAATATTTATAAATAAACCTAAGCATATTTAGAATATTTATAAATAAACCTGAGCGCATCTAGAATATTTATGAAATGATTCTTATTTTATTACAATGTGCTTTCAATTTAAATATTTTACTATAAAAACTTTCCTTCCAAATTGAGAAAATTTGGAAAATTTGGAAAAATCAAAAGTTAAAAAAATTAAATAAATATTTTAAAAAAATAATAATAATTTTTGTAGTTTTAAAGTCAACACGCCAACCTAATGGAAACTTTCAGTGTTATTTAGGTTGAACCTTTTTCTTAATTATTTTTTTGTTATATTTTTTTGAAGTTTTTTTTTGAATTCATCAATGTTATGTGAAGTAGAACAAGATGAATTAAACCATAACAACAATGTTTCAATCATATTTTGTTTATATAACAACTTTTTAAAAAATACATATGACTTTGAATTTAAAAAAAAAATTAAGTAAGTAAAATTTTCATGAATATAAAAATCTTTAATGTTTTACATCCAAAGTTTAAAAAGTAGAAATAAGAAGTCAACTCTGAAAGTTTCAAAATTGAAAATAACTTGAAAAAAAATTCATCTAATGAAATAACTTATAAACAATTGTTGAAAACTGATATGAGATCCTTAGAAACTTAGAATTTCAAGAAGAGTTAGTAAATAACTTATATAAACTCACAAAACATTATCATGTTAGCAAATCCCATACATACTTTTTAAATCAATTCAAAAAAAACCTTAAAGCAAAAAAATATATTATGCAAACAAATTTTGCTAAAAAACTTATTTGTAATTCTGGATAAAGTTCATTATCTTTTTTCCTAAAATCAGGCAATTCTTCATTCATTTCTAGGGATAGGTTTTCTTCTGAAGACCTCATATATGTTATCTTTATTATATCACATCTTTATTACATCATATATGTGAGATCATTAAATGGAAACTATCCCTAGAAAGTAAATTTTATTGTGTTTTATCTGACACTCTGTTTCGCAATAGAGACGATCTTTAGTTATGTTTCAAAAAGCACATGGAAAAAGTGCATGTGATAGAATAGTTGGTAAAATATGTGGCTAGATAGTTGGTTAGAGCCTCGAACAAAAAGTATAAACCTGAAAAGTTGTAAGATACGAGTTCAAATTCTGCCACCGTCAACTCAGCGCTTGAGTAGTACTTCAGTACGCAAAAATGTTGGTCAATAACGGACGCTACTTTGGATTAGTCTTAATGACTATTTGTGGCTGTTCCTATGTTAAACTATATCTTTGGATATAAGAACATTGTATAGAAAAATATAGCATGAAAATTCAAATAAAATTAAAAAAAAAAAAATTCATAAATAAAATAAAATAAAAGAATTATTAATAAAGTGTCTCTTCAAAGATTGGTAATCAACCTTAAAAGATTTTGACACCAAAAGATGTAATTTTAGTTGTGAAAACATCAGGTATATAACATTTTATTGTCTTAGTTTATGGATTTTTTTTTAAATGATGTTTTGTATCCTATATCAAAATAGACTTAATTATCATCAAAATGGCTTCTATTATCCTTTGTTATGAAAAGTCAATCCTAATAAATCAAATTTTGAAATTTTTGCTTTAAAAGTTTTTTTAAAAGAAAATTGTATAGAAAATAATTCAATGAAACAAAATCTTATAAAATATATTTTTTTTAAATAATGTCTTCAGATTTATCTGATTTGAATTTATTTTTAGATTTCTCGATCTGAAACCAGCTGCTAGAAAATACACATGAGGTACTTGCTAAAAGATTAGAGAATATTACTACTGTCAAAGGAACTCGCTAATTACTTAAAGGAACTTATCATTATTTCTCACCTCAATCAATCAAAATTATGTTTCTCACCTCAATCAATCAAAATTATTATTATCAATGAGCAGTAAATTATGTAACATCAATGTAACATCAATGACCTTATGTAACATCAATGAGCAGTAAATTTGACATTTTTTATACTCTGGAAGATACTAGCACAAAAGTCAATGAAAAAGTTGACATCACATTTTAATGAATATTGACATCAATATTCATTAAATTGTGATGTCAACTTACATTGCTTTTATTTTACTAGTACTCTGTGGTAGCTCTCAGAGAGGCTGAGAGGAGATTCCATCAACAGCTGAAAAATATCAAAGTATTAACAGTGCCATATTGAGCATGGATGGTGTCCCTGTTTGTACTTTTAGTGTACATTGCCAAGGCCACATTGGAGGGCTTTGTTATGGCTTAGGGTTTAATAATAGTAATGAGGCGATTGCTTGGGCTATTAAACAGTGTACTGAGTACTATCTATGCCTTAAGTCAAGTTCTTTAAAAAATTTAAAAATGAATAAAGCACCAAAAACTATAAAACCATTGCCATCAACAAGTTCTTTAAATCTATCATTTACTAATATTCGTGGTCTTTGAAGTAACTTTTCTTCTCTTGAGTCTTATCTCTTGCAAAGTTCACCAGACCTACTTGCTCTTTGTGAGACTAATTTGAGTTCAGCTGTCTCATCTAGTGATCTTAGAGTTGATGGTTATGTTCCTTTAATTCGTGAAGACTCCAATAGTCACATGCTTGGCCTAGGCATTTACATTTGTAAGAATTCACCCTTTTGTCAGGAAACTAGGTTTAAATCCACAGACTATTCTTTTATGTGCTTTCGTTTAGCACCACTTCACTCTATCACCTTTCTCTTTGTTCTATATCGCTCTCCTTCATCTCAAGACTACACTCTTCTTGATGTTATTTCTGATCATATTGACCAAGCCCTCTCTCTTTATCAGCCAATATTGTTGTTGTTGATGACTTTAATGCTCATCACACTGAATGGCTTGGCTCTAGCGTCAGTGATTCTGCAGGCATTAAAGTCCACAAACCTTACCTTTGTCAATCCCTAACTCAAATAGTCAACTTTCCAACTCGCTTTCCACCCAACCAGAATCATTTACCTTCTCTACTCAACTTATGTCTTGTTTCTGATCCTAGCCAGTGCTCAGTTTCTCCACATCCACCCTTAGGTGCCTCTGATCACAGTTTGATCTCTCTAAAAACATTATTTCATTCTTCTTTATCATTATAATCCCCTCATCATCATACATCTTACAACTACCTTAAAGCTGACTCTTGACATTTCTAAAACTTTTGATAAAGTTTGGCATGCTGATCTTTTCCATAAGCTTTCTTCTTACGGTGTATCTGGAAACATCTTTAAGATTATTGAATCCTTGCTTTCCTATCATAGTATAAAAGTTGTCCTTGATGGACAGCATTTTTCTTATTCTGTAACCTCAGGGGTTCCTCAAGGTTCAATCCTTGGCCCTATACTCTTTTTAATATACATTAACAATCTTTCAAATATTCTCACATCTAAGGTGGCATTGTTCGCTGATGATACTACCATTTATTCTTGTCATGATAAAAAGCCAACACTCTTTGATAGCTTGGAGGGGGCATTTGAGCTTGAAAAGAATCTCACTTATGCTACATCATGGGGCTCACAGTGGCTGGTGAATTTTAATTCAGATAAAACTCAATTTTTTTCAGCCAATCGTTATCACAATAATTTTGACCTTCCTATATTTATGAACAGTAATGTATTCGATGAGTCATCTACCCTTCATCTTCTAGGATTAACTCTTACTTACGATCTCTCTAAATCTCAAATCCGGCCTTGTATGGAATACTGTTGCCATATCTGGGGCAGATCTTCTAATGATGCCCTTTCTCTTTTAGACAAGTTTCAAAAATGCATTGTAAACATAGTTAGTGCTCTTGCAGCCAACCTTCAACCATTACCACATTGTCGTAATGTTGCTTCTCTTTCTCTTTTCTACTAATACTATAATGGGCACAGCTTTAAAGAGCTAGCACCTTTTGACCCATCTACTAAAATTCATTCTCATGTTACTCGTCATTCAATTAAGTCTCATCCTTTTCTGTGACTGTTCCTAAGTGCTCCAAAAACTCTTATTCCTCTAGTTTTTTTTCCTTGAACATCATTTCTTTGGAACTCGCTTCCTTTATCTTGCTTTCTTGATTCATATAATTTGCAATCTTTTAAGTCGTCTGTCAATCGTTATTTTGTTCTACAATATTCATCTTTTATCTTCCAGTAACTTCCAACTCTAATTAATGGTTCAAGGCTTAATTTAAAAGTCGGACATCAGACATTGTCCGGCTATAACCTCAGATTGTCTAATCAATTTACAAAGTCATCGGACCTTTTGTCCGGCAAGATTTTATATTCTTTAAAATAAAATTTTATTCGTTGAATTGAAATTGACAAATTTAAACTTAATGTTAACTATTAGACAAACTTATAAAATATGTTGATAATGGAGGCATTCATTCCAAAAAAAAGCGCTGTTATTAGTTGTAGTTTTAATGACTGTTCTTTAACAGTTTTATTGTTATAATATTAAATGTAAAATTATTGCTTATTTAAAACGATCCCAAAAGTCAAAGTATGTTCGATTGATTACAGCAAATACCGTGGACACCGAAAAGCAAATAAAAGCTAGGAGTTTGAAAAATTTGATAATAAAAGATTTTACAAATGTGTTTTTTTAGAAGCTGATATCTCATCGATGGAATATTTTTAAAAAAACATTAAGAAAATATACATTTAAATATTAATGTTATAATCATCCAAATCATTCTATTTTAGCGGTGTCTCAGTGGCATCCTGGTCCTACTCGAGTTTTCCGATTCTTTATCTATTATTTGTTTTTTAAACTATATCTTTATTTGTATTTTTTTTCTAATTATTTATTTTATATATATATATATATATATATATATATATATTATATATATATATATATATATATATATATATATATATATATATATAAAAGATTAAAAAGTTTTAGCTTTATAAAACTTGTCTGCCAAGGAAGGAGTGCCTTTTTGAAAAGTAGATAAATAATAACCTGTAGAACTCATAAAATTTTCTTCGTTGAATTAATAGAATTTTAATGAAATGCAGCGCGTGGAATTTTTAAATTAAATAATAGCCCGTAAATATTATATTGCATTTGATTTAACCGCCTTTAAATAAGTAAAAACGAATTTTAAATTTTTTATATCAAGTTTAAAAATAATATGTTTATCTTAATATTTAATATATTAAAGACATTATACTATATATTATACTATATTACTATAAGAAACTTGTTTTCTTGCCGTTTTTATTATTGATAAAAATAGTTACATGAACGCCATATAAATACCTTTTTGGCGCTTAAAGTGGAGCTTATGCGCAAAATTGACACTTAGCATATTATATTTTTTTAAGTAAAAAAATTTACATAACTTTTATAAACCGGTAATGCAATTCAATGTAAACTAACAAGGTTTTCGAGAGAAAAAAACTCAATAAAACTTCAAGTCTATCTAAAAAAATGTGCAGTATTGAATTTAAACTATTTCATTTAAAATACAAAGATCTACTATGATAAAAATTCTGAATATTAAAAAAAAAAAAACTACAACTTCACTAGCCTAAAATAAAATAAACTGGGAAAACATAATATATATTTTGATTGGATAATTGGGTTCCGTAAAACTCAGATACGCCAGAAACTAGTCTAAAAAAACCCATCTGCAGTACTTTGTTACTCTCGGCATTTAAAGAACTATCTTTTTCATGTGTTCCTTTTAACAAAATAAATATGATTATATGTAAATATTGGTGAAAATTATTTGTTTAAATTTTATTTCAAAATTTGATCGGACAATGTCCCCCCAAAATAACTTTTGGTCGGACATTTTGTCCGGGACCTTATAAAAAATTTAATAAAGCCCTGATAGTTGCTTGCAGCCTTGTTGGAAGCGAAGATGTTATTTAAAAAAACAAAAACAAACAAACAATCTTAGATCAAAACAAAAAAATAATCTAAATAATATGTAAAAATCAGGAAAATTTGAGATCGTGTCCCACAGGCTATTGACTGAAAATTAATAAACTGATCTAGTACTCAAAACAAAACAACACTTCCCCATTGCACCACACATACACATTGTTATACATTACAATGTTTTTTACTTGATCATCACATCAATCCAGGGTTGGAAAAAACCCAGGGTTTTTTAAAAAAACCCAACCCAAATGGGTTTTTTTGGGTTTTATGGGTTTTTTTAAAAATCGATCAAAATACCAAATTTTTATAATTGTATGAGTACAATAAGTTTTTTTTTTAATTTCATAAATTCACCTCCCTATTGACCATTTCAGTCAAGGGAGCAACTCATTTTTTAAAAATATTTTGTCTCAATCCTTAACATTACCATTTTTACTAACAAACAACATTAACAACTAAAATTTTTAAACAAAGGCGCTGTGTGGAGAAATAGATTGAGACAGTAATTTCAGCAGAAGTAATTTGAACCCCAACCTTCTGGTTGCGAGCCAAATGTTTTACTACTAGTCTACTAGCACATTTTACCTATAGTGCAAAAAGGTACTCCATCAACTATAAATGATGTTAATTAATTGCTCTAAATTAAAAACATGTTCAGAACATCTTTGACAAAAAAAAAATCAGTGTAAAAATTATGACAATTGAGTTATTCAAAGTTGGTAAGACAATATAAATGTTGCAAAAAGTTTTTTTTTACTAACATGTTCAAAAACTACTTTGCACAAGTTTACAACATGTAATCAACAAGTTTGCAACATGATGTTGCAACCTTATAAGTTATCAATCAGGATGACTATGAACACTTTTTAAACATTTTTGTATCATAGAAGAAAACTGCTAGCCTAATCACTACATTTTTTTTTATCAGAACATTATACTGTCTAGCTTCTTGGAAAAGTTATCGGCCTGATCAACTGGACTGGCAAAAAATGGATTTTTGCCTAAACTTTGTTTCTAAATATATATAAAGTAAATTTGTAAAGAACCATTACAGTGTCTTCGCCACCAAGTTTTTTTTTTTCCTTGAAGATGTTTTACCGGCTCAGTTTTGCAATGCAAATTGCAAACTGAATCAAAGTAACACATTATATAGCTCTATTGTGTGTGTTTCTTCACCTTTTAGCAACTTGTTACTGATGTTAATTTTCAACCCGCTGTTCATAGTCACCCCTGTTGGTGGTACATGTTGTAAACTTGTAGCTGATGCAAAATATTCAAAACCTGTTAAATATTCAAAAGACAGATGAGCACGAGTGTCATTTTTACCGACAAATCTTGTCTTTGTGAAATGCATACAAGTTTTCAACATGTTCTCTCATTGAATGAGCAAACATGTTGCAAGCTTGCTTGCACATAACTTAATTTTTTTTAAGTTTTAAAGTTGTATGCACTGAAGTTCTAAACTTGTATGCACAAATCTAGTAAACTGTAGCATTTTTTTTTGCCTGACAACTTTCCATTTCTAAACTGTAAATAAAGTTTAATTTTTATATATAGTATTTTGCTTGTGGCTTTGTATTTTTTTTTTTGCAGTTTACAACATAAGCTTTAAAAAATAAAAAATCAAATACCAATATAAAAGAATACAGACATTCGAGAGGAGAATAAAGATACTAAATAACTAGTAATGTCTTGAAATTCAGTTAATAGAATGATTTTTATTTCCTTTATAAGTATTTAACTAATTTAATGTTTTAACACATATTTCAATAACATTTATAATAACTTGCTAAATGTTTTAAAAAAATAATAAATAACCAACTTGCTACAAAAACAGATTGATCGATTTTGGGTATATCCTAAAGACCATTATGTATATAAATACAGTGTTTACAAGAGTAATTACAGTATAAAGGTTGCACTTGGTGATAATAAAGCATTTATAAGTGTTAAAATCAGAGTTGTCAGTTGTAAAATAGGTCATTTTTAAAAAAACCCAAATATATTTTAGGTTTTTTTGGGTTTTATTGGGTTTTTTTAAGATGGGTTTTTTTGGGTTGGGTTTTTTTGGGTTGGGTTTTTTTGGGTTGGGTTTTTTTGCCAACCCTGCATCAATCAATAAAGCAATCAACTATTGAAAGATACAAAACATTTAAATCAGTGAATGTTAAAAGGCCAGAAGTTTAATAATGTAAACTTTAGGAAAAATAAAAAAAACATGCATTTTCCCCTGCAGTAAATTTTTGTTAATGGTTCAATAAATTTTTTTTGAAGGTAAAAAACATAAGCCTCTTCAAAAAAAAATTATTAAACGAAAGTTTACATAGCTGGACTTCTACCCTTTTAACATTCACCGATTCATTTATATCTACAAAAAACAATATCTTAAGTAACAAGTGAAGTAAAGCAATAGAGAAAAACTTTTTTAAATAATTTTTATTTAAATAATTTTTTGAAAATAATTTTTATTTCTTTAAAAAATAAAGTTCTCTTAATTAAATTAAAAATAAGATTAAAAAAAAATTATTTCACATTTAAAGCAAAAGTTTTTAAAAATTACAAAAATGTAAATACAAAAAGTTAAGTAAACAGAATTTTAATTTAATTTTTTACAGCTCAACAAAAAAAACAAGATAGTAACAAAAAAACTTTGCCAAAATTGGCAAGAAATTGCCAAAAAACAAACAAACAAAAAAAACTGACCCCTTGCTGAATCGAATGATGTCACCACATTGCATTTGAGAGCCACAATCATCCCACACTGACATATTTACTGAGCCACTCTTGTCAGCCACACGAACCGTGCGTATTTCATGTCCATCTTTTGTTTTTGTTGGCTTACCTGTTAAATTAGAAGTTACATTTGTATTTTAATAATAAATAAAAGTAAATTAATAAAAACAAAATAACCTTCGAAAAAAACAAAATTAAAAATTTAGATTGATTATAACATCAACATAAATTGAGGCTTATAAAGCATGTTTTTAAAATCATAGGATTTAACTTAAAACTTAAATTATTAGTGATAATTCTAAACAATATAAACAAAGTATTATATTGTTAAGTATTATGATGCATTACTTTAAAAATTATTTAAGAATGCATAAATCATTACAATTAAATTTAAAAATCTAATAAACTTAGTTAAAAATTAAAAATTTGTTTATTTATTTTGAAAATGTTTTTATTTAAGCAGCATAATAACATATTTATATAATATTTACAACTAAAGAATTTATCATAATTTAGAATAAACAACTAAAAACAACTACTTTTCTTATATGCAATATTTAAGATCGCAAATAACTCAATATTGTAATATAAAATGAGCCATTTGCTCAACCATAATATGATTTTTTTTTTGATTTTGTTAAAAACCATAGAATTAAAAAAAAAAAAAGAATGTACAATGTCTGGTGGTGGACACTATTTTCATTAACAAGTAATTCTTATGAAGCTTGTAGATTTTGTTGAAATATAAAAAAGGAACTTTTTTTCTAGAAACCTTTTTGAATGGCCAAGGTAACCTTATAAAATAAAATTGGAGTATTTGCACGACATATAATTGTGATAAAATAAATATAAGTAATTGTAACTTTTTATATGGAAAAAAAAAAACTTTATTAAATAAGAAATTTTTTTACATAAGAAGAAAATTTTCTAATAAAGACTTGTATTTTTATGGGTCTGGTCAGCTAGTATATAAAATTTAGTTTGCTTAACATTTAAATTTAAGCAGAGCATAATGTTTACCAAATATTTATGATTTAATTTTAGGTAAAACAACTGTGAAATGGCATTAAATGACCTCAAGTCCAAAAATGTAGACTGTATCAGGATGGAAATTATGCTGTTTGTGTAGTTTCTGATAATGAAATAGACCAAAAAACACTTTCTTTCAGCTTATGTTCAAGTCTTTTTTCAACAAAATGAATATTTTAAAACTATGTCTTGTAAAAAAAATCGTGCTAAGGTTAATAATGGTTCTCCACAACAAAAAAGATTATTGCTATGCAACCTTTTAAGATTTTTATGATTTTAAAGGTCTAACTTTAAAATAGTCTCTATATACTTTAAAATAGAATTTTCAAAATTTCATAGTTTCCATCTAAAATTGTGTATTAGTGTGGGCCTAAATGGTACACACTTTATATATTTTTATATACATCTCAAAACTTTTTTATTGCTTGTAAACGAAATATTACATACAAAGATTTAAAGTCAAAATAAGATCCCCACCACGTCCCTGGTAGTACCGCGCTCAACTTGTTTCTCCGCGCAGCGGCCTTTTTTGTCAAGATTCACGTTTCGGAGTTATAGAGTTGAGAGAGGGTTATAGCCACTATTAAGTAGCCTCCTCGTTTTTTTAGTTATTCACCTTCTCGGAGGTGAATAACTAAAAAAAAAAAAAAAAAAAAAAAAAAAAAAAAAAAGTATGTAAAATTGAATTTAATCAACAAGAACCGATAAATTACAATTAATTATTCAGACAGTCATTAGAATATAAAAATTAATTATTTATCACATTAACCAACTTATTTGTCACATTAACTAACTTATTTGTCACATTAACCAACTTATTTGTCACATTAAACAACTTATTTGTCATATTAACCAACTTATTTGGGCAGTGGTGGTGTAGTATTAGAGCATTCGCCATAGAGAAGTTTCATGTTTGATCTCCACCACGCTCCTGGTAGTACTGTGCTCAACTTGTTTCTCTATGCAGTGGCCTTGTTTGTCAAGGTTTTTGGAACTATAGAGTTGAGAGAGGGTTGTAACTACAACTAAAGTAGCCTCCTCGACTATAGTGCCTTGGGGAGGTGAATTAAAATAAATTAAATTAAAAAAAATTTTGCATTCAAATATAGCTAAACGCCAAACTCACTACTTGAAAGAGTTTAATAATAGTCTAGGTTGCAATGAATGTATTATACTGGTAGATTTTGCAGTAAATTATAATAAGATTTATCTCAAATCTTAAAATTAGAGCAATAAAACATCCGTAGCACTTTTAACTACTTTAATTTTAAGGAAAAATTAAAGTACTTAAACATTTTTACATACAAATAATGTGCTTTAATTGTTTGTTATATATTTTATTTATTTGTATGTCCATACAAATAGTGATTTACTTTTTTTACACATTTTAATTACTTTAACTAAAGTTTGTTTTGCACAGACAAAGTGACAATACTGATTGTTTAAACAAAAATAAAAATAAATAATATATAAGGTGACTAACGTCTTTTTTTATTTAGGAATCCACCATAAAAATTTTATTTTATTCAGCTCTGATACTAAACAGGAGGGCATTGGTCACTTAAGAAATTACCTTAAATATACTTTAAAATACAAGATTCTATAAGAAGTAAATACAGTGATCATCTAAGTCATTTTTTAAAAATCCAGAAAAAATAATTTATGTAAAATATCCGGAAAAGTCCGGAACATGTTTTCCCTTACTATTCTTCTAATTTAGCTTTCAGCTGGTGGTTTCAGCTGGTGGTTTTTATAATTTTTAAAAAACATTTAGATATGTTTTTTATGGGTGATCAATGAAAAAGCAAAATGTATATATATCACAATAAATATTATATAAACTTGTATGTACAAAAAAACATTTTGGATATCCGGAAAAACTAAAATTTGAGAAAAATATCCGGAATTCCGGAAATATCCGGAAAAAGATATTCCCTGTAAATATTACATACTATAATACTTGCATAAAATTTGTTTGTTTAAAAAAAAAGTTGCTCAACAAAAATTTAGAACATAATATTTTATTTTTAATTATACTATACATATTATGTATACAAAAATACTTCGACATCTTAAAACAAGTAATTACTCAACAATGTCATATACTGAAACATTTATACTTTTATCACTTCGATGATTACGGATCTAGATACTTCTATTCCCATTTATTATGTAAATATGTTTTTGTACACTTGTGAGATTTGGTACAAATAAAAGCTATAATAATTTAATTATTCGCACAAAACCGGTATCAAAAACAGCTTAATTGAAAGAATATGTTATGAGTTGCAGAAAAGTTTCTATAAGAAATGTCAAACAAATAGAACTAACTTATATGACATAACTAGGATCCATGACCTGTTTCTGCGTAAGAAGACCCAATAAATAACAAGTTTAGACATAGTCAGGTGTGGAACAGATTTACCATAAACCATATTGTATGAGTCATGACAACTAGTTACAATAATTAAGCTCACACTTAGCACGAATCCTGATAATGCCAACTTAAGAACGCCACTTATATGAGATGATAGTGCACACATCAAGGTGATCCGGTGATGCAAATAATGAAATCTTTTAGTCTTCTTTGCGGAAAACTATTTAAATGTTCAAATTAAGTGAAACTTTTGACTTAATAGTGCAGCAATAAAAACACCTTTAAATTAAGAACCACTTTATATAATTTGATAAAAATTAGTGCAAATGTAGCATATGGCCGCTTCAAATACTGGATAAAACTTCAGCCAGATTGGTTAACTGGTTAGGCAGTTTTAATTTATATTTTGTTATTTTTTACTGCTTATACCTCAAAATGGTACCAATTACTGTTATATAAGGTTACTATTGTATTGTGTGAAAATATCAGCATTTTTAAAAGTATACCCTACTGTCAAAATGCATGAAAATGTTAAAAAATGGTTGAAAAGCTTTTATAAAGATACCTACATAAAAAAATATATATATATAAAAATTCAGATATTTATTTTTAATTTAAGATTTAAGATAAAATAAATAACTGACTATTAAAAAGTTTTGAGGACCAGTCAGAGGAAAATACAATAATAAAATGCATCAGTCTCAAAACTCAATTAAAAAAAACATAATAGGTACAAATAATTAAAAAAAATTTTTTTTTTACATAAGATCAACGTCATAATAGTCAAAACAGCTCAAGAATTCTATGTTTGACTTGATTATTTAAACAAGACCTTGGCAAGCTTTTATATGCAAGCTTTCCTTTATTTCTAATTCATACTTGCTTTGAGCAGAATCCAAAATAGAAAAGCAATCAGAGGAGGCTTTCCTTTGACACTCAATGTTTTTCATTAAATGATAAAAAATGTAAGCCTTTTTATCTTGAAATGTTCATCAATGTGTTGTGAAAAGTTTCGGACAGTTCGTCCTATGTAGCAAACATTACAGTTAGCACAATTAAATTTGTAAACAATATTTGATTTACTATTTCTTGGAAGTAAGTTGTTTAGTGAAAAGTATTGTTTAATTTTAAAAGAAGAAAACGATAATTTGATAATTAAATGTTTTTTACATAACTTTTTAGTTAATTCATTAATTTTGTTTTGAATATTTCTAGAACCATCACATATATAAGGCAACCTAAAATATTTGAAATTAAGGGATTTGTTATTGTTGAATTTAGATTTAACAAATTTTTTATTTAAATAGTTATTTATAAATTTACCAATAAGTTTAATTGGATACTGATTTTTAAATAAGACAGTTTTTAGGTTAATAATATCGTATGATAACCAAACCAGGTATTAATAATTTTAAAACAACGATTAATAAGAGTTTTAACTAGTCAAAATTTGTAGCTAATTAATGTAAAGCTAAAAAAAATCGTCAAAAGACCAGTATATGTCTCCTTATGGTAAATACTAGTGATCAAATCATGGTTATTTTCAATGCAAACATCCAAAAATGGTAAAATACCATTTTGTTCATGTTCACATGTAAATTTGATGTTAGGATGTTTTTCTTTTTTATTGATTTTTTAAAAATTTCAAAAGTTTTTAAAATCTTTTTAAACGCATTAAAAAAAAAAAAGATATTTCAACCAAA